GCGGTGAATCCTTCCCAAGAAGAAAGGTTCTGCTGGCTGTGCTCCAGTGTGAACTCCACCTTGGGGCTGACTCTGCTGGGCTGAACATGGGCTGGTAGGAGGATTTTTTGCCTTTTGGGTTCGGCAGAGGGATGAACCTTCCCCTCTGATTTCACTGAGCGCTGCAGGAGGGCTGGATGGGCAGGRTTTTTAAGGAAAACAAGGAAGTCTYTCATTCCTCTGTGTTCRTACATTCCATGTAAATCCCTGCTCAGCCCTGTTTGTTCCCTCTGCAGCTGAATTTGGAGCTGACCACGTGAAAAAGCTGCAGGTTGAAGTGAAGAGGATGAAAAGGAACTTTGAGGAGGAATTGCACCTAATGGGAAGGAGAAGCAGCAGGTGATGGTGGAGAAGGAGCTGGCAGGGAAAGTCTCCCATTCCCAGATGGGAGAGGGTGAGCAGATCCACCCTGGGCTGGGGAAGGGCTCCAGCAGGGCAGAGACTGTTCCCTGTCCCCCTCTGGGGACAGGTGACACTGGAAGGAGCAGAAACAAGAAGCTCCATTGATCAGAGGTTATGGAAATGCCCTCAGGAGGAGGAGAGAGGCTGCATGACCCTGCTGCTGCTCCCGGCTGCTCCCTGCTTGCTGTTCCTCTTGTAGTGCCCCTAAATCTGGAATCAGCAGGGTCAGCCCACAGGTGATGRCTTTAATTCCTCCATGGCCCAAAATCAGCCCCTGGGTCAGTTTTCCATGAGCTGATTCTCACGCTGCTCTTGTCCATAGACAGCTTTGGGGTTTTGTGCCCTCAGGAGGTTTTAGGGATCTGCCTGGAGCCTTTTCTCCATTTTGCCCAGTGTTCCCCTCACAGGTTCTTGCAGCTCAGCATCACCCAAAGGTGCTCTGCAGATCCCTGGATTGTGAGGAGCTGACACTGGAGTGCTTTGGCTTTTCCCTGGACACACAAACACACCCTGACCAATCTTTAATGGACAGAAGTCCCTGGGGCAATAATAAACATTTCCCAGTTCCTAACACTTGAGGTGGATCTGATAACCCAGATAACCCTCTGAGGCCTGTTTCAAGCACTGAGTTTTGGGGTTGGGTGCAGATTTTACTTCACTGGGCTGTAGTTCGCTGACCAGATCTCACACCTCTGTCACCTCACAGGAGCAGGACCTGTCCCGGGGGGAGAAGTGTGGGGGTTTGGGATAGGGCTGATCATCTGGGATGTGCTGCAGGGTGTTTGAGCTGACCTCCAGCATGTGCCTGTTTGTGCTGCAGAGGGAAGGGCTGCRAGGCACCGAGAGAGGAAACAATTCCAGCTCTTCTTCCCCGCCTGTGGCTTCACCTCCAGCCACCACTGACTGCTCCTGGAGACCTCCCAGCAGCTCCTGCACTCCTCAGCTGCTCCAGAATGAGCAATATTCTCTGTGAGGACATTCCCCTTCCTGCCCTTGGCTTCGGATTCAAGGGAGTCGTGCCCCTCCTCTGCTTTTGTGGGGTTCTACCCCACAGAGGATTCTCAGCGGTGCAAGCTATGATGGACCAAGGTAGGACCCACCTTTCAAAGGCCCCTCACACCTCCTTCTGTCCCCCCTGCACACCCATGTCTGTGTCACATCTCCCTGGCTGAGGGGTGGCCAGGCCCTGCTTTCTGAGGACAGGGCAGACACCACAGAGGTCTGGAGTCCTGCAGAATCCGTGAGGGACGCCCCGATTGCTGCAGGAGGGATTTGCCACTTTTGAAGGCCCTGTGGGGTGGAAGGTCCTCTTCAGGGTGGGGAATTTGGGGCTGTTCAGCCTGGGGAAGGGAATTTTAGGGACACACCTCACAGCAGCCTTGCCATATCTGAAGAGGCTACAAGGAAGCGAAAGAGGGGCTTTGCATCAGGAGCTGGAGTGCCAGGAGAAAGGGAATKGTCCCCCTGCCAGAGGGMAGGGATRGATGGGATRWTGGGAAGGMATYCCTCCCTGTGAGGGTGGGAGCCCCTGGCACAGGGTGCCCAGAGAGGCTGAGACTGCCCTAACCCTGGAAGTATTGCCGGTAAGAGGTGATTTCCCCCGGAAACACGGAATTGCCGTTCCGGCGCACG